AAAAAAAAAAAAAAAAAAAAAAAAAAAAAAAAAAAAAAAAGTAAAAATGCGCCTTCCTATTGACTCTTTATCTTTCTCTGTCTCCCTCACTCTGCTCGCTGGCCCCCACTGGGGGCCATCTCCCAAGTAAACCGAGTGCACTGAATCCTTGTCTCAGGCACTGCATTGGGAGGAACCTAAATTAAGCATGTATGCTGTGTGGGGGAAAAAAAAAAAAAAAAAGGACACATGGAAGAAGAGTGGTCTCCAGGGCCGGTGACTTTTCCATCCCCTTCTGTCTTCGCAGGTATCTGACGGCTGTGATTACGTCTTTGTCAACGGCAAAGAGATAAAGGGCAAGGTGGACGCGGTGGTGAACTTCACCTACCAGCACCTGAGTGCCCCCCTGCACATCACCGTGTGGGTGCCCCGACTGCCCCTGCAGATTGATGTCTCTGACACCGAGCTGAGCCAGATTAAAGGCTGGAGGGTCCCCATTGTGGCCAGTAAGAGGTGAGCCCAGGATGCAGAGATTAACCGGAGGCGTGATAACAATGGTTTTATTTACTGACCACACCACCGACGGAGCCAGTACAGGGCCCGGCACGTGGTAGACGCCGGTAAAATGCTGTGATTACATTTTCTCCAGCCCACCCGAGGCCCAGGATAACCAGCCGGGAAGGAGGCTGGGAAGCGGCAGGATCTGTATCACCCCCAGGCCGTGTGCACTCTACACTTGGACCTCTCCCAGACCCTCCTGAAACAGGCTCCCCCAGAATGAAGCGACAGAAATGATAGATCTTTCTAGCCCCTCAGCACCCTGGGGGAATCTGAATTGGGGGTTATTTTCTCTAAGCGAAAGTGACTCCTTTTTCTGTGCTTTGTGAATATCCATAAGCTTGATAAGCTCTGTGTGCATCGAATTACCGCATAACATTTCATTGCATGTATATTGGACTATAGTGTTACTGTTTGCTCTTTAAAAAAAAAAAAAAAAAAGGCTCTTTGTTCTATGTGACTCTGGATTGTCATACGTAGGAGCTGGGGTCACCCATCCTGAATGCTCAGGGCTGTTTTCCAGAATCTTCCAGGCACCTGGTCCTCATGTTAAGGGGCAAAGAGTGCTTGAGCGAACGTACACTCAGCACGAGCCCCTTGGGCCCGTAAGAGGCAACATCCCTCTCTGCAGGGAGAACTTGAAAGAATCTTCCCCAACTGCAGAGGGCGGTGGTGAATCCGGGCAATCCTTCAGACTGTTTAGTGGTCATGAGTGACCTAGAGAATGAGCGTGCCCCGTGCCCCTGGGGAGGGCAGACCTGAGCCTAGCCGCCACTTTCTAGCTCTGTGAGCTTGGGCAGGGTCCCTAACCTCCCTCCCCAGAACACAAGAATAATAACACCCGTGTTATGAGATTAAGAGTCCATATGTGTGGAGCCTAGAAGGTCACATCTCAAGAGAGTAATACAGCTCTGCCCAATAGAACCTGCTGCCGTGGCAGAATGTTCTAGAACCACGCTATCCAATATGGCGGCCGCTAGCACATGTGGTTAGGGAGCGCTTGGTATATATAGCTAGTGTGCCTAAGAAATTTACATTTTTGATTCATCTCATTATTCATTTAAATTGAAGGGTAAGTGGGCACACATAGCTACCAGCTACTCATTTACTGGACAGCGTAGACTTCGTAAATATTAGCCCGTAAGCCGTTTGTTAATACATGCCTTCAGGAGAGGGATGTCCGACCCTCTGTGCTGCCTGTGATGGAAACAGCACTCCCGTGGGGTCCTGAGGCCCCCTCCTGGGATGTTGTCCCATGGAGGCTGGGGCGGGCACCTGCCTGTCTGGCCTGTGCCTCCAGAGCGTCTAAATCCATTCCTGGGACCTGAGAGCTTCTCGTTCCCCCAAGGCCCACGCGGGAGAGCGAGGATGAAGACGATGAGGAGCGGCGGGGCCGGGGCTGTGCCCTGAAGTACCAGCATGCCACGGTGCGGGTCCTCACCCAGTTCGTGGCCGAGGGCGCCGGCCCGTGGGGCCAGCCCAGCCACCTGCTCGGCCCCGACTGGCAGGTGGACATCACCCACCTGGTCTCGGACTTCATGAATCTGGAGGAACCTCACGTGGCCACACTGCAGGACAGCAGGGTCCTGGTCGGGCGGGAGGTCGGGATGACCACCATCCAGGTAGGAAGCCAGAGCTGGGCATTTCTGCCCTGAGCACCGTGCCGGGCTCTGGGGGAGGCTCCCAAGAAGGGTGGGTCATTGTACCCGATTCCTGGCCCCCAGGATGGCATCCCCGGGACCCCAGAAGCTGAGCTAGGACCAGCCCGGGGGGGGGGGCCAGTCTCCTCACGAGCACAGCTGAGAAGGCGGTGGTCACAGCCCCTTAGCACCTCACATGTCCCCTCTCCCAACTGCTGTGTGGTCCGTTCCCAACACCTGCCAGCCCTCCCCGTCCTGCCCCTGTCTGCCAACCCTTCATCTCGCTGTCCACACCTGACATCTCCTACACCTCTCAGAAGCCTCCTCCCCTCCCCTGCATGCTGCTCACGCTCGTGGCCGGGGGAAGGTGCCTCCCTCCTTCCCATAAAGCATTTAGTCATTCTGCCATGGATCCATCCAGCAAACCTCTCTTTGAAGTCCTACTACCCTTTTTGTTCAAGGAAACACATACGACAGGGAGTGGTGGGCCTTTTCCCAAATCCTTCAACTTCCACCTTCCTGACTGTACTTGGGGGGGGGGGGGGGAGAGGAGACTATAATTCAGTTCCCCCACAGTTACTTCCATAGTTCATTTAGAACGTGATTCAGGTTGCACAAAGTCAACTCGTGTGCGACTCTTCCTGAGCCTCGTCAGCAGGATTGATTGCCATGCACAGTTAACCAAGTTGTGCAGGGTACAAGAGTCCCTGGTCTCAATGGGAGGGGTCCTTTCCCTTTCAAAACAGAATGGATTTTAACATCTGTTGTCCTCTCCCCACAGAGCTAAAGTGTCGTGGGGAAGGGTGACTTTATCTGATTCTTGCAAAGGCCTGGCGTGGGCTGGTGCATCTCTAGGGAAGAAGGTGGGAGGCTCCTTCACCCCGTACTCTGGACCCAGGCCTGGGACAAGAAGGAAGTGTTGCCGGGGAAGCTCCCGGCATCTGGGAATCTTCTGTCCTGTCCATCCCACAGGTATTGTCCCCGCTGTCAGACTCCATCCTGGCAGAGAAAACGGTCACCGTGTTAGATGACAAAGTGTCAGTGACAGACTTGGCCATCCAGCTGGTGGCTGGGCTGTCCGTCACCCTCCACCCCAGCACGGAGGACAGCAAGGCCATCACGGCTGTGGCCACAGCTCAGGAGCTGCTTCGGACTCCCAAGCAGGTAGGGATGGTTCTAGAAGCCGGAGTTCAAGAGGAGCAGGGCGCTTGCCGTGCCTGACTCCGCGAAAGGGGCGGGGGGAGGGAGGAACGGAGCAGAGTCGCTGAACCGCAGTCCAGAATGCAGTGATGGGGAGGCTGTGAGAAGCCACAGGGCGACGTCATTCCGGTCGTGGGCTCTGTGATGAACCAGACAGGTGATGCCCAGTGCGCAAGTCTGGTTCCACAGACTTGGCGGTTTACAACAAGGCCCGCTTATTAGCTCAGCTCGGTGCGTCGGGGGCCGGGGCGGGCTCAGCTGGGTTCCAGGCTCAGGGCACCACAGGCCGACAGCAGAGTGAGCCGGCGGGGCCCTTCTTGGCGTGTCCTGGGGAATAATCGGCCTCCACGCTCGTTCCTGTCTCTGCACTTCTGTGGCAGGTGTCTGTGTCTTTGGTGGCTGGTCCCCGGGGACCCCTCTCAGCTCCCTAAGGCCACCCGTGTTCCTTGTCACTTCCCACACCCCCACTGTCTTCAAAACCAGCAACATGCATGGAGTCCTTTTATGCCTTAGACCTCTAACCTCCCCTCTGCTGCCTGCTAGAGAAACCTCTCTGCTTTGAAAGGCTCACGTGTCTACACCGGGCTCAGCCAGATAATCCAGGCAGGTCTCCCTATCTCAAGGTCAGCTGCGCCACACAGCACAGCATCATCACAGGAGTGGCATCTCATTATGTTCCCGGGTTCCAAAGATCAGGGCGGGTCATTCCAGAAAGTGTGCGGCTGCTAGCTGACTTTGCCCCAGGGTGTCAGCAGGAGGGTCCTGGAATACGTTCACATCCACGTCAGGCCCCCATTGATGGCTTCTCTCCTGGGGGCGAGGTGTTTTCTACTCTCCAAGGAGCAAATTGAGGGGAGCGGAGCAAAGTGGGGAGACAAGGCAGAGAACATGGAGCTATTTGCTGAGAATGGGTAATTAATTAGGGCATGATTGGCCTCGCAACCTTCCTGGCTTGGGGGCAGGGGCCCCGACCCCCATCCAGCGTGTCCCATCTGTCTTCATCGGCTGATGGTAATTGGAGGTCCCCGCACGGACTCCGGGGGGATTTATGGATGCAGTTCATTTGATTTGCAGACATGACTCTGGAAAGGATGGAGCTTTAAATCATTCCTGGGCCTGTGTTGTTTTAAGTCATTCAGAATGTCTCATCTTTGGGGAAATGCACTGGCCTCTCCTGGGCACGTCCTGGGGTCCAACCTCACTGGAACCAGCTAATCACCTGACTTAACCCTCAATCACACAGCAGCACCGACTCAGATGGGTTTCGGCAAGCCCGCGGGGTTCTGAAGGCTTCATCCAGACTGTCTGCCACTCAGGGGGCTGGTTTTAGGTGAAGTTCTTTCCCCGTCTAGAGTGTGTGAAGAAAAATTAGTTCAGGATGGAAAGTCAACCAAGATGAACTCACAGACCGTGTGAACAATGTGTTTATGCCAGCCCTCGGCGCGTGGAAGGCCGGCACCTTGTTCTTGATATTTCAGCCCTGAAATACAACGTGGGAAAGATTTTTACACCCGTCAGTACGAGGGCAATCGTATATCCTTTGCCTGTGCCTCATCTGTTCGGAGGAAAGCCAGGACAGAAGGGTGAAATGGGAAATTTACCATTTAGATTTACCAATTAGAAGGGGGGTCTGTCGGGTTGTGGGACTTGCCATTGATGCGGACAGAGGGGACAAGGGTGGGAAGCAAAACTCCTGAGCCATATTGCCTGCCTTAGTTTCGATCCCCCAGAAGCTGAGCCTGCCATGAGGTTCGCGATCAAGTGTTTAATTTGAGTGGTGGAGGGAGCCCCAATACGGGAGTCGGGAAGGGCTACAAGGGATAGAAGACGGCAGAACGTGCTCCCCACCCGCGGCCTCCGCCGTGGGCTACTGGAGCCCGAGTCCTCTGGGGAAACCACCAGCCAGTGTTGACCAGGGGCCAGGGAGCTGGGCTGTATGTCACATCTCCTATCAGTCATTGTTGAGGGCTGCTTTGGGGGGGTGTTAATTCCTTGGCACTTCTGGCTACAGACATGGCCACGTGGCTTCCAGAGGCCGGAGAACTCCCTCAGACAAAACAGTCTTGCAGAACTGACCGCTGAGCGGGCAGATACCGAGAGGGGGAGTGGGCCGGTGCCACCAGTGACCGCCATGCCGTCCTGAGATTTCGGGCACTCCGCTCAAGCAGCGGGTGTCGGCCTGGGCTTCCAGTTAGTGGAGACAGAGCCCAGGCCCAGGCTGGCTCCAAGCAGACATCGGTATTTATCAGTTCATGCCTGGGGATTTGTCTTCAGGCCAAGCTAGATCCAGCTGTCCTGAATGCTAGAGAATATTCCAGCCACTCCTTCCGTGGATCCTGATGTCCCCATCTGCCTTCTCCACATTCGTTCCGTCTGCAACGTCTCACCGAAGACTGTCGGTGGCTCTCGTACTGTCCTTCTTTTCCTTCCTCTTGCCTGTTTTGGTGTGTTCCGTCTCTTTTGATCCCTGTGATTGTGTTTTGGGTAAATTCCTTGGCTCTGACGCCCTGGACAGGGACTCTCTTCCCCCATACGTGTCTAATCTGCTTTGCAAACTAGCCGTTGGGTAATTTCAGCTGGAGCATTCTTTCGCGAAGTCCTCTCCACGCCTCCCTGTTTTTTGTTTTTGTTTTTGTTTTTCCCCCTCAGCCTTCCTCTCAACGTGGTGTCTACTGCGTTCCTTGTCCCTTGAACCGTTTTATTTCATGGGCCATTTTGTCGTTGCTGCTGGTTTACTTTATTTCCGTTGTTCTATTATCCAAAACCCTTGCCCTGCTGATCGACCTGCGTTTTTTATGATTCCCTCTCACGGTAGAGCCCTCCCTCCTCGGGACTGTAATTTTTTTTTGTTTGTTTTTAATCAGAAGCGCCTCAGGCTGTGGCTTCTTCCCTTCGCTCCCGACAGGAAATCCTTGCAGGCCTGCATTTGCACGGGCCCAGCCCCAAGCGCGTCTTGCTGTCGGCGGCCGGGCACCATATAGGTCGTGCACCTTCAGACCCCACACCCAGGTGTGGGGACGCGGTGGGCTTTTGATTTCCAGGGGGCACATTTTCCGGGCAGTGCTCAGAGCACAAGCAGGCATCGCGGCTGTTTCTGGCCCGGTTGGGGAGGACTTTCTCATCGCCCCCCCCCCCCCCCCCCGCCCGGTCTCGATAGCCCTGCTTTTACGCAAGGGGTCCCATCCCCAGCGGACAGTCCCTAGGTGGGCATAGCATCCCTGCCACTGGCTGGCAGGCCTTCTGAGCAGCTCTGACACCCGTCCCCCCTCCAGCCCACCTCGGTAACAGCTATCTGTATGGACCCCTCTGGTACGCGTTCCCTCTTCCTTTCTGGTGCCTGGGAATTTTCATGCTGTTTTGTATATTCCCACCCGGCTTTTAAGTGGTTGATCCTCAGCCAGTCTACTTTGTGGTTGGAACACACTCTTCAGAGACTCTCTCTCTCTCCATTTCTTAACTCTTCTTCCCCCTGCGTGGGCCTCCTGTTCCAGCGGAGCCCCCCTAAGCGGCTACAAGACGGCCACTATCGCCGCAGACTTGCACCCCAACTGAGCAGCCCCGGGGGCTGCAAGCTTCCCATCTCTGGTTCCTGCCGCCGAAGCAGAGGGATCCCCTCCTATTGGCTGCTTTCCATCCTGAGCCCCTTCCTGAGCCAATCCCTGTGAACGGGGTGGTGGGATGCTCCGATTGGCCAGAGCTGGGTCACATGCCTAGCGGGGGCGGGGCCAGCCCCACCCCCATCCCGCCCCTGCCCCGCCTGCGGCGAGTGTGCTCGCGCCCTGAGCGGGTAGGACTCGGTTCTCCAAAGGGAAGCCGGTGTTCCAGTCCCAGGTGGGAAAGAGGGCTAGAAAGTGTCCAGGCCAAGCAGACGTCCATCTCAGACCCCGGGGTGGAGGGGTTCACACTCAGCTGGGGAAAGCGGATTGTTTAGAAAAAAAGAAGGGGGGGGGCAGGACAAATAGTGCATCCACGTGTTTAACTCACAACTCATGTCAGATTCTCGGCCCTCGGTTGTCATGCCCAGAAGCCAGGACCAGAGAGGACACAGGATCCTTTACCTGTAACAGACCCCTGGGGTGGCGTTAACTCTTCCCTCTCCGACTCTGCTCCTTGATTCTCCTCCAGCACTTGCGGCAGACTGTCCCAGGAAGGTCAGCCCCGCCTCGGTGGTGGCCGGGGCCTGCCCCTCTCCTCCTGGCCTCCCCGCCCCACCCCCAGCTCCCCTACACAGGCAAGCACACCCCCACCTGTGCACACGACCTGTCCCCGAGCGCCACCGCTCACAGCCCCGTGTGTTTTTCTCCCTCCGGCTCCGGGCGCCCTCTCCGAGGCTCCGCCGTGTCTGGCATGGGCTTCTAACCCATGTCCCTAAATGCCTGGTCTTAGAAAACACGGAAGAATTCCAGACACATCAAAATTATCGTGGTGAGTGGCCGTGGTGGTGGGACTCGGGACGGACCTCCGGGCTCAACCCCCCCATTTTGCCACTTCCCTGAGCCCGCCATGCTGTCCATGATCCCGCCTCCTCACCTGCAGCAGGAGAAGAGGTGACAGTAAGAGTAATAGAGTGATAGTAAGAGTGATACGTCGGGTATCACTGTGAGGGGAAAGTGAGTCCGTCCTCGGAGGACACAACAGTGGCGGGTTCCCGGGACGCACAGCCGCCGCCACTCCCATTTTGGTGGCTGGAACATCGGTGTGCCAAGGACGGCCCCCCGGCCCAGCTCCCAGCTCCTGGGAACGGGTCACCTTGTGCGGCCAGACAGACTTTGCAGGTGTGCGTAGGGATCCCGAGGTAGGGAGATTGCCATGGGCCAGCCAGACATCTCAAGGCTGGACCCTCCTCAGAGGAGGTGGGAGCGTCAGAGCAGAGGGAGCCTGCGGACTCCACGTGGAGTCTGCGAGTAAAGCCGTGGTGCCATCTCCGCGAGGCTTCCTGGTGGCCCTCCCCAGCAAGGGTTAGGCTGCAGCTGTCCCTGCATCTGCGTTCTTATTTAACTTAGAGCGATTTTCTGATCCTGATGTAAAAGCTGAATGTTTTCTCCCCAGATTCATCGGCCACCGGGTCTGGATTGGAGTCCAGCTCCCGATTCCTTCGGGTTCTGTTCTAGGCCGGCGGGCAGGTTCCTAAAAGGAGAAGCAGCCGCAGGCCTCACGCCGCGGCCTCCTAACAGCCTCTCTCCTTGCAGGAAGCCGTGGTCAGCACGTGGCTTCAGCTCAGCGACGGCTCGGTGACGCCCCTCGACATCTACGACACCAGGGACTTCAGCCTGACCGCCGCCTCCCTGGACGAGGCCGTCGTGTCCGTGCCCCGGGCCCGCTCTCCCAGGTGGCCGGTTGTGATGGCCGAGGGGGAAGGCCAGGGGCCGCTGGTCCGAGTGGACATGACCATCGCAGAGGCCTGCCAGAAGTCGAAGCGCAAGAGCGTCCTGGCCGTGGGCGTGGGCAGCGTCAGGGTCAAGTTCGGCCAGAAGGACGCCGACTCCGGCCCCGGCGGGGGCGGCGACGAGGGCGAGATCAAGAACCACGCCAGCGACCGCCGGCAGAAGGTTCAGGAGCCCGAGGGGCCCCCGCCCGGCGGCTCCTCCGTGGAGCGCGAGGAAGGCGCCCCCCGCAGAGGCGGCACGACGGCCCGGCCGCTGCCGGACAACAGGGCGGTGAAGAGCAGCCGGCCGCACGCGGGCAGGCCGTCCGGAGAGGGCCGGCTGCAGAACATCCCCCTGGACTTCACCAACTTCCCGGCCCGGGTGGACCTGCCCCGTGCGGGGGGCGGGCTGGGGGCCAGCGACCTGCTGCAGACCGCGAGGGGCCTGAGCGACCTGGAGATCGGCATGTATGCCCTGCTGGGCGTCTTCTGCCTGGCCATCCTCGTCTTCCTCATCAACTGCGCCACGTTCGCCCTCAAGTACCGGCACAAGGAGGTGCCCCCGGAAGGCCAGGCCTCCGTCACCCACTCGCACGACTGGGTGTGGCTGGGCAACGAGGCCGAGCTCCTGGAGCACGCGGGCGAGGGGTCCCCACCGCAGGACGAGCACACGACCGTCCTGGACCGCGGGCCGGGCGGCAGTGAGGAGAGCGGCTGTCCGTTGCTCGACGGCGGAGCCCGGCAGCACGTGCAGGGCCGGGGGCACGGGCCGGACTCGGGGGGCAGGCAGGCCAGGGACCCGAAGCCCGAGCCCCTGCACTCGCCCACCTCCAAGAGGAAGAAGGTGAAGTTCACCACCTTCACCACCATCCCGCCAGACAACGGCTGCCCCGGCGTGAACCCCATCCTCGGTGGCGGGGGCGAGGACATCAAGTGGGTATGCCAGGACGTGGCCGCGGGCGCCCCCGAGGAGCTCAGAAACTACCTGGAGAAGTTCAAGGAACAGGCGTAGGCCCCTCCGGCCGGCGGCCCTGCACCCCGCCCCTCGCGGGGCTCGGAGTGGGTCTGGCTCCGGCGTCGGGTGGGATCCGGGAGGGCCCGGCGTGGAGCGGGGGACGCACCCCCGCCGTCAGGCTGTGCGAGTCCCGGAGCCTCCGCGAGGGGCCGCGTGTCTTTTGTAGCAAGGATTCTGTAGCAGTCGATGATGGCGGAGATTCGAGAGTCAGCGGAGCCTGCTCTGGGTGGGTTGCTGACCGAGACCCTGAACCGCACAAGGGCCACGTTAGGAAGGTGATTTTACGAGTTGAAACATAACCCAGACAAGCTACCAAAAATTATTTGTTAAAAAAATGCAAAAAGACAAATAAAAAGACAGAAGGAATCATCTCTTTATTTATATTTTTAATAAAGTAGCAAAATCTACAACGAGGTCCTGCTAAGGCCCCATTTCTGTTTTAGTTCAGTGTCCCCCCCCCCACCCCCCCTTTCGAGGACGGCCGTCTCTGGGAAGAGACCATCCCAGCCCTGGGTGCCCTGGGATGATGAATCTCAGGGTTTTCGATCTTTCCTGGATAATCTTCTCTTCTCCCACATTTCCTTCCCTCCTTCCAACAAGTTTTCTGTGTCCTATGCTGCCATCTGATTTGTATTTAATGTTTATTTCCAAGGACCAAATGGTATATTTTTCCTGATTTAAACATACGTTATATTCGTATACATTAGGTGAATTCTTAGAAATAGTCTCCATTTATCCATCCTTTAAGTAGTAAGTCTGATGCTCTTCTGTACTCCTCCAGCCTTGTTGATATTTGCTGGGGTTTAAAAATCAAAGGGTTGGGGAGGCGTCCCCTGGATCTTGACCTTGCCCTCCACCACACCCACCCCCCAGGCCACAGCCTGTGGGCGGAACGCTGCCCGAGGCCGTTCCAAGGGGACCCAGCCAGCCTCGCGGAGCTCACAGAGCCCAGCACCCAGTAGCTCCCCACTCAGGGGAGGTCTGGTCAGATCCACGAGGGAGAGATCGCACCCAAGAGAAGTCTGTGCCTCCTCGTGCGGGACATCTGTCACGAGACCCGCGGACGCTGAGAAACGAGCCAGGATAAAAACTCTGGGAGGGTTTTTGACCCGTCCCTCTGACTCTGTTGGGTGGAACATGCCGGCGTGGACCGAGACGATAAAAATCTGTGTTAGATGGTTAGCCAACTGTGGTTTTTAACAGCCTGATTGTGTAAGCAGCACATTTGCAAAGACGCATTGATCCAAAGTCAACTGTGTGTGGCCGAGAGAGCAGCGTGTCCTGAATGAGCCCCTCGGTGACTGCCAGGCCCCGGGGCCTGCTCTGGGCAGGCACCGCTCACCCGCGAGGCTCGTTGTTTTTATTTTTTTAATTACTAAAATCAGTAGCTAAGAAAGGGTCCTTGGAGCCTCGTGACCTTTTCAAAAGGCTATTTCTAGCACATATTACAGACGGAAGGGAGATATTTATTTATACCTGTGATGCCAGTTGTCATTAAAATGCTTTCCATGCCTGGACAAGTCAGTACCTTGTGGGGTGTTTCTTTTTTCAGTTAACTCCTAGTTCCTCTCCCGCCGAATGTACAACTTGCTGAAGAAACCACCTGTCCGCTGGGCTCGAGGGAAGACAGCACATACGTGGGTCCCGTGACTGCTGCAGAGGGCTTCCCGGGACCCCCTCGTCCGCCGTCACCCCCACCAGCGGCTCTCATGCTGCGCGTGCCCACAACCGCCAGGAGGGCTCATAAACTACAGGCTGCTCAGGGGGCTCCAGAAACACGCGTTCCTGACAAGTTCCGGGGCAACGCGGATGGGGCGGGTCTGAGATCCACACCAGGTAGAGGAACACCTTGACACTGGGTGGAAAGGGTGGGAGCCCCATCCGGTGGGAAAGGGGTTTCTTTTATCGGGACTGTTTTTGTGGGTGGTGTTTGAGGTCTCAGTGGGACTGTGGTCGCCGTTGGTTAGCTGGGGGTAGAGAATGTTTTGGTAGAAGATAAAGTGGCGGGATTTTTTTTTTTTTTTTTTTTTTTTAGTAACAGCTTCATTAAGACACAATTCACGTGCCATAGACTTAACCCATTTACGGCGTACGATACAGTGGGGGTTTTTTTGTTGTTTATCCGGAGAGTTGTGCATCCATTGCCACCCTGACTGTCGAAAATTTCCATCATCCTGAAAAGAAACTCCATACCTGTTCCAATCACTTCCCATTCCTTGAAAACCGCCGGCTTCCAGGAAACCACCGGACTTGCCCATTGGTGCTGGTGTCTCTCTCCTTGTGGGAGAATTCTGACCATTCCCTGAGCAGGATCCTCCTTCTTGTGGGGAGCCGATGGGGTTAATGCGACGGTGAGGTTTCCTAATCAAAGCACCAGGAGATCTCGGTGCCCCCGCAGCACCTCTGGACAGTGCAGTGGGAAAGCACAGACTTCAAGATCTTTGGTGTCCGCTCCTAAATCCAGCTACCTCCCTGGCTAGCGCATACATTTCTTTAGAAGGTGAAGGCTCCAGATAAGGGGAAGGAGGGCTGTGGTTGGCTCTATAATGCCGGGTGCTTCGTCTCCGCCCCGCGCTTGGAAAGCGATCAGACCCAGCCACGCCCCACCCGTGCGCTCCCGCAACGAGCCGCGGACGCTGGCCCTGGGCACATAACTCACGCGGTCCACTCCGGTGAGCTGAGCTGCGCCAGTTCTGAGCCCGTGAGACAGGGAGGGCCGCTGAGGTCTTCCTCCCCGGGCAGGAGGCTCAGGGAACACCCCCGCTGTCGTTGGTGGACAGCCAAGAGGCCAGGTCGGGGTGACCGCCTGGTCCCGTTTCCCCTGGGACCGACCTGTGTTTTAAAATGGGGAGACCCTTTTTATTTTCCAAATTAACACAGTGTGCATCTGAAGCTCACACCATGTTGAATGTCAAGTATGTTGCAATTAAGGGATAAATTAGGAAAGGAAACCTGAAGACCCGTGTCCCATGCAGCGTCTCTGGGGAGGCTGGGGTTGGTCGGCCGCCCTGGGCTATGGAAGCGATACCAACTCCCATTAAAAGCTGGTGCTGTCTGGGGCGCCTGGGTGGCGCAGTCGGTTAAGCGTCCGACTTCAGCCAGGTCACGATCTCGCGAGATCTCGCGTGATCTCGCGTGAGTTCGAGCCCCGCGTCGGGCTCTGGGCTGATGGCTCGGAGCCTGGAGCCTGTTTCCGATTCTGTGTCTCCCTCTCTCTCTGCCCCTCCCCCGTTCATGCTCTGTCTCTCTCTGTCCCAAAAATGAATAAACGTTGAAAAAAAAGATTTTTAAAAAAAAAAAGCTGGTGCTGTCCGCAGACAACACGTCAGTCCCGCCCTCCCCTGACTGGGGTTTGTGACACGGGAGCGCACGTCCCAACCTCCAACTTGGGGCCGGAGCCCCTCCCTTCCGCGTGTGTCCTGGGTGGCATCAGAGGGCGAGGTCTCCCTCGTGTGTACGTACACTGAATAAACGGTACATTAACAAACGGTGAGACCCTAAAACACATCGGATCGGGCATCAGGATCCCCTATTCTCTTTTATTCTGAGCACCGATGCCGCACCCACCCTCCAAGCCCGCCCGCCTGCCTCCCTCTTGACATGTGAGCCTGTGAAGGCCCCCTGAACGAGTCTGCAGACCCACAACCTCTGATTTATTCCCGAGGGCGCGTGCCAGCTCCTTCTGCAAAGAAGGCCCCAGGTGAGCTGTGCAGGGACCTTCTCCTAGAAGGCACCATCTTCTTTACAACGATGTGCGTCTGAGTCTGGGGAGGGGGTCACCACAGCACTGGGACTGTTCAGAGAGACCAGCTGTAACTCCTCCTGTTACAACGATCCAGTAGAACGAGAGTGGCCTGTCTGCTGGTTGCTGGTCTCGTTATTCACTTAGCAGACACCGACCGAACGCCCGCTGTGTGCCTGGCCCTGGGCAGCACGCAGAAGGTGGAATAAAGGAGACGCTTGCAGCCAGGGCGGGGAGGAGGCAGGGAAGGGGGCAGCTAGAGCCCAGAGCGGTGGGTGCAACAGCGGGCTTGGTGCGTGATGGGCGGCGTGCACCCCACTGCTCTGTTCGCGGCTGTGTGCCCCAGCCGGACCCGCACGGCCTCTCCAAACACGAATCTGCTCTTTCTCGCGTGAAATAGATACTGAATATTTGCAGGCATTAGCATGAATCTTTATTAATATTAGCAATAATGCATCGACACTATTAACATTAATGCTTTTTAACATTAGCCATAAGTACGATAATAGAGAAGAGCCACTCCACTGAACAAGTGTCAGCCAGGCCCAGGGTTGAACTTCCCTTACTCACTCCCTGGCCACCCTCCGAGGCAGGTGCGTTGGCTCCGTGTCACAGACGAGGAAGCAGGCTCTGAGCATCCTGCCCAAGGTCACGCCCAGGACATAGCCAGACCGGGCCTCAAGCCCATGCCTGTATCCCAAAGACTGTGGTCCTAATTACTACACTAAGGCAAGCTTTGCATAAAGTTCCTAGCATTAAAAATGGAGTAAAACTGGGGCGCCTGGGTGGCTCGGTCGATTAAGCGTCCGACTTCGGCTCAGGTCATGATCTCACAGTTGGTGGGTTCGAGCCCCGGGTCGGGCTCTGTGCTGACAGCTCGGAGCCTGGAGCCTGCTTCACATTCTGCGTCTCCCTCTCTCTCTGCCCCTCCCCTGCTCGAGCTCCGTCTCTCTCTGTCTCTCAAAAATAAATAAGCATCTAACAAAATTTTTAATGTTTTTTCTAAAAGAAAATGTACCATTACAGATGTGACCTAAATTAATTTTTTTTTTTTTCATTTTAAACGCAGCACATGAGCAAAGTGTTTGTGAAAACAACAATTTGCCTGTGCTGGTGCTTCAGCAGTGACCTTCCAGGTTTTTGCTCTCAGATTTCTTCTTTCCTCCAGAGTTGAGGTCAAAGTGCAAACACTGATTTTAAGCATCATGAACAGGGACGGTTCTGTGGCCCTCGACAGAAGACATATGGTCACGAAAGTCACGTGTGGAGGCACAGGCTGTGAGGTGCAGGCGGGGCCCCGCCAGGGGGACGGGGAGCCCCGAGACTGAAACCAAGCCCGTCTTTGCTGGCTGAGAAGCTTCCGCCTGGAGGAGAGGCCGAGCCCACTCGCTTGAGCCAGAGTGCCCCCTGCTTGCCAGGCGAGACATTCGGACTGCACCTTCCGGGAGG